CCTGTGACCCTGTGTACCTATGACACTGTGTACCTATGACACTGTGTACCTGTGACCCTTTGTACCTGTGAGTAGGACCCAAAGGGCCTCATGGTCCTCAGGTCTCGCTCCACTCTCTGCCTCAGTCCTGGATACGACATGTTTCCTCCGCTCAGAAACACATTCTTCACCAACTGCTCCTGCTGATCACTGCTGTATCTGCGAGGACCAGGAGGAGACCAGGAGGAGACTATGAGGACCAGGAGGAGACCAGGAGGAGACCAGGTGAGAGGGGGACACACAGGACAGAGGCAGAGAGACAGAGGCAGAGAGGCAGAGGCAGAGACAGAGAGAGGCAGAGAGGCAGAGACAGAGGCAGAGACAGAGGCAGAGACAGAGGCAGAGAGACAGAGAGACAGAGGCAGAGAGACAGAGGCAGAGACAGAGACAGAGGCAGAGAGACAGAGGCAGAGACAGAGACAGAGGCAGAGACAGAGGCAGAGGCAGAGACAGAGGCAGAGACAGAGGCAGAGAGACAGAGGCAGAGACAGAGGCAGAGACAGAGACAGAGGCAGAGAGACAGAGGCAGAGACAGAGGCAGAGACAGAGACAGAGGCAGAGACAGAGACAGAGGCAGAGAGACAGAGGCAGAGACAGAGGCAGAGAGACAGAGGCAGAGACAGAGAGACAGAGGCAGAGAGACAGAGACAGAGAGACAGAGGCTGAGAGACAGAGGCAGAGAGACAGAGGCAGAGACAGAGACAGAGGCAGAGACAGAGACAGAGGCAGAGAGACAGAGGCAGAGAGACAGAGGCAGAGAGACAGAGACAGAGACAGAGGCAGAGACAGAGACAGAGGCAGAGAGACAGAGACAGAGACAGAGAGACAGAGGCAGAGAGACAGAGGCAGAGACAGAGAGACAGAGGCAGAGAGACAGAGACAGAGAGACAGAGGCAGAGGCAGAGAGACAGAGGCAGAGACAGAGAGGCAGAGACAGAGACAGAGGCAGAGACAGAGACAGAGGCAGAGAGACAGAGGCAGAGACAGAGAGACAGAGGCAGAGAGACAGAGAGACAGAGGCAGAGAGACAGAGGCAGAGACAGAGAGACAGAGGCAGAGAGACAGAGACAGAGAGACAGAGGCTGAGAGACAGAGGCAGAGAGACAGAGGCAGAGACAGAGACAGAGACAGAGGCAGAGACAGAGGCAGAGAGACAGAGGCAGAGAGACAGAGGCAGAGAGACAGAGGCAGAGAGACAGAGACAGAGACAGAGGCAGAGACAGAGGCAGAGAGACAGAGACAGAGACAGAGAGACAGAGGCAGAGAGACAGAGGCAGAGAGACAGAGGCAGAGACAGAGAGACAGAGGCAGAGAGACAGAGGCAGAGAGACAGAGACAGAGACAGAGGCAGAGACAGAGACAGAGGCAGAGAGACAGAGGCAGAGAGACAGAGGCAGAGAGACAGAGGCAGAGAGACAGAGGCAGAGAGACAGAGACAGAGGCAGAGACAGAGACAGAGGCAGAGACAGAGACAGAGGCAGAGAGACAGAGACAGAGGCAGAGACAAAGACAGAGACAGACAGAGACCTGTCCAGGACGTCCTGCAGCGCCTCCATCAGTCCCATCTGGTCGTCTCCTGTGAGTGAGGGCTGGAACAGCAGCTCAGAGCCGCGTAGTCGCTCTGTGCCCACGAACAGTTGGTGAAACTCTGCCACGTTAAAGACCTGCAACACAAAGGTGCAATCTCTGTGTGCAATCTCTCTGTGCGCAATCTCTCTCTGTGCGCAATCTCTCTGTGTGCGCAATCTCTCTGTGCGCGCAATCTCTCTGTGCGCGCAATCTCTCTCTGTGCGCAATCTCTCTCTGTGCGCAATCTCTCTGTGTGCGCAATCTCTCTGTGCGCGCAATCTCTCTGTGCGCGCAATCTCTCTCTGTGCGCAATCTCTCTGTGCGCGCAATCTCTCTCTGTGCGCAATCTCTCTGTGTGCGCAATCTCTCTGTGCGCGCAATCTCTCTGTGCGCGCAATCTCTCTGTGCGCGCAATCTCTCTGTGCGCGCAATCTCTCTGTGCGCGCAATCTCTGTGCGCGCAATCTCTCTGTGCGCGCAATCTCTCTGTGCGCGCAATCTCTCTGTGCGCGCAATCTCTCTGTGCGCGCAATCTCTCTGTGCGCGCAATCTCTCTGTGCGCGCAATCTCTCTGTGCGCGCAATCTCACTGTGCGCGCAATCTCTCTGTGCGCGCAATCTCTGTGCGCGCAATCTCTCTGTGCGCAATCTCTCTGTGCGCGCAATCTCTCTGTGCGCGCAATCTCTCTGTGCGCGCAATCTCTCTGTGCGCGCAATCTCTCTGTGCGCGCAATCTCTCTGTGCGCGCAATCTCTCTGTGCGCAATCTCTGTGCGCGCAATCTCTCTGTGCGCGCAATCTCTCTGTGCGCGCAATCTCTCTGTGTGCGCAATCTCTCTGTGCGCAATCTCTGTGCGCGCAATCTCTCTGTGCGCGCAATCTCTCTGTGCGCGCAATCTCTCTGTGTGCGCAATCTCTCTGTGCGCAATCTCTGTGTGCGCAATCTCTCTGTGTGCGCAATCTCTCTGTGCGCGCAATCTCTCTGTGCGCGCAATCTCTCTGTGCGCGCAATCTCACTGTGCGCGCAATCTCTCTGTGCGCGCAATCTCTGTGCGCGCAATCTCTCTGTGCGCAATCTCTCTGTGCGCGCAATCTCTCTGTGCGCGCAATCTCTCTGTGCGCGCAATCTCTCTGTGCGCGCAATCTCTCTGTGCGCGCAATCTCTCTGTGCGCGCAATCTCTCTGTGCGCGCAATCTCTCTGTGCGCGCAATCTCTCTGTGCGCGCAATCTCTCTGTGCGCGCAATCTCTCTGTGCGCGCAATCTCTCTGTGCGCGCAATCTCTCTGTGCGCGCAATCTCTCTGTGCGCGCAACTCTCTGTGCGCGCAATCTCTCTGTGCGCGCAATCTCTCTGTGCGCGCAATCTCTCTGTGCGCGCAATCTCTCTGTGCGCAATCTCTCTGTGTGCAATCTCTGTGTGTGCAATCTCTGTGTGTGCAATCTCTCTGTGTGTGCAATCTCTGTGTGTGCAATCTCTGTGTGTGCAATCTCTGTGTGTGCAATCTCTCTATGCGCAATCTCTGTGTGTGCAATCTCTGTGTGTGCAATCTCTCTGTGTGCAATCTCTCTTTGGCTAATACCTGGACCTCATGAGCAGATTTCTCCGGCAGCACGTCCTCGGGGAAGTCTGGATCCATCATGGCCGCCGCCTCCGCCTCGTCTAACGGCTCCAGAGCCTGAGGAGAGAGCCACAGTGAGAGAGCCACAGAGAGAGAGAGCCACAGAGAGAGAGAGCCACAGAGAGAGAGAGCCACAGGGAGAGAGCCACAGAGAGAGAGAGAGCCACAGAGAGAGAGAGCCACAGGGAGAGAGAGCCACAGAGAGAGAGTCTGAGGAGAGAGAGCCACAGGGAGAGAGCCACAGGGAGAGCCACAGAGAGAGAGAGGCACAGAGAGAGAGAGGCACAGAGAGAGAGCCACAGTGAGAGAGCCACAGTGAGAGAGCCACAGTGAGAGAGCCACAGTGAGAGAGCCACAGAGAGAGAGCCACAGTGAGAGAGCCACAGAGAGAGAGCCACAGTGAGAGAGCCTGAGGAGAGAGAGCCTGAGGAGAGAGAGCCACAGAGAGAGAGCCACAGGGAGAGAGCCACAGGGAGAGAGCCACAGGGAGAGAGCCACAGGGAGAGAGCCACAGGGAGAGAGCCACAGTGAGAGAGCCACAGTGAGAGAGCCACAGAGAGAGAGCCACAGTGAGAGAGCCACAGTGAGAGAGCCACAGTGAGAGAGCCACAGAGAGAGAGCCACAGTGAGAGAGCCACAGTGAGAGAGCCACAGTGAGAGAGCCACAGAGAGAGAGCCACAGTGTTAGTTTTAATGCAGAAGAGGCTGACGCCTGGTCCCTGTGCTCTCCTGGTCTCCGGGCCGGTCTCTCCTGGTCCGTGTACCTGGTGTCTCCTGGTGTCCTTGCTGGTCTCCCCTGGTCCACACACACAGACAGTCGGTGTACCTGGTCCCTGGTGTCTCCTGGTGTCCTTGCTGGTCTCCCCTGGTCCACACACACAGACAGTCGGTGTACCTGGTCCCTGGTGTCTCCTGGTGTCCTTGCTGGTCTCCCCTGGTCCACACACACAGACAGTCTGTGGATATAGGTCTGTAGCTCCTGAGCCGAGTCCATGTTGAGCTCCATCAGACGTTTGTGGAACTGGTCCAAGAGTCCGTCCTCCAACAGCTCCTGAAGATAAAGCTCAGGTCTGTAACTTTACACCTGAAGATAAAGCTCAGGTCTTTAACTTTACACCTGAAGATAAAGCTCAGGTCTGTAACTTTACACCTGAAGATAAGGCTCAGGTCTGTAACTTTACACCTGAAGATAAAGCTCAGGTCTGTAACTTTAAATCAACTGCTTCTGTCTTTTCAGATCAAAGAGAGGACCTGTCTCAGCCAATCAGCTCTCAGCCAATCAGCTCTCAGCCAATCAGCTCTCAGCCAATCAGCTCTCAGCCAATCAGCTCTCAGCCTAAAGAGTCAGGTAGTAACTAGAGGTGTAACGGTTCATCACTGATCCGTTCGGATCAGCGTCTTCGGTTCGGTACAGACGTGATCCACGGTTTGATTTATGAAAAAAAAGTTGTGTGCATGTTGTTCAGTCCACTCACGGCGTGGTCACGGCGAGCAGAGGAACAGAGAACACTCACAGCGTGGTCACGGCGAGCAGAGGAACAGAGAACACTCACGGCGTGGTCACGGCGAGCAGAGGAACAGAGAACACTCACAGCGTGGTCACGGCGAGCAGAGGAACGGAGAACACTCACGGCGTGGTCACGGCGAGCAGAGGAACAGAGAACACTCACAGCGTGGTCACGGCGAGCAGAGGAACAGAGAACACTCACGGCGTGGTCACGGCGAGCAGAAGAACAGAGAACACTCACAGCGTGGTCACGGCGAGCAGAGGAACAGAGAACACTCACGGCGTGGTCACGGCGAGCAGAGGAACGGAGAACACTCACGGCGTGGTCACGGCGAGCAGAGGAACAGAGAACACTCACGGCGTGGTCACGGCGAGCAGAAGAACGGAGAACACTCACCGCGTGGTCACGGCGAGCAGAGGAACGGAGAACACTCACGGCGTGGTCACGGCGAGCAGAGGAACGGAGAACACTCACGGCGTGGTCAAGGCGAGCAGAGGAACAGAGAACACTCACAGCGTGGTCACGGCGAGCAGAGGAACGGAGAACACTCACAGCGTGGTCACGGCGAGCAGAGGAACGGAGAACACTTACAGCGTGGTCACGGCGAGCAGAGGAACAGAGAACACTCACGGCGTGGTCACGGCGAGCAGAGGAACGGAGAACACTCACGGCGTGGTCACGGCGAGCAGAGGAACGGAGAACACTCACGGCGTGGTCACGGCGAGCAGAGGAACAGAGAACACTCACGGCGTGGTCACGGCGAGCAGAGGAACGGAGAACACTCACCGCGTGGTCACGGCGAGCAGAGGAACGGAGAACACTCACGGCGTGGTCACGGCGAGCAGAGGAACGGAGAACACTCACGGCGTGGTCAAGGCGAGCAGAGGAACAGAGAACACTCACAGCGTGGTCACGGCGAGCAGAGGAACGGAGAACACTCACAGCGTGGTCACGGCGAGCAGAGGAACGGAGAACACTTACAGCGTGGTCACGGCGAGCAGAGGAACAGAGAACACTCACGGCGTGGTCACGGCGAGCAGAGGAACGGAGAACACTCACGGCGTGGTCACGGCGAGCAGAGGAACGGAGAACACTCACGGCGTGGTCACGGCGAGCAGAGGAACAGAGAACACTCACAGCGTGGTCACGGCGAGCAGAGGAACGGAGAACACTCACAGCGTGGTCACGGCGAGCAGAGGAACAGAGAACACTCACAGCGTGGTCACGGCGAGCAGAGGAACGGAGAACACTCACAGCGTGGTCACGGCGAGCAGAGGAACAGAGAACACTCACGGCGTGGTCACGGCGAGCAGAGGAACAGAGAACACTCACGGCGTGGTCACGGCGAGCAGAGGAACAGAGAACACTCAACGGCGTGGTCACGGCGAGCAGAGGAACAGAGAACACTCACGGCGTGGTCACGGCGAGCAGAGGAACAGAGAACACTCACAGCGTGGTCACGGCGAGCAGAGAACACTCACAGCGTGGTCACGGCGAGCAGAGGAACGGAGAACACTCACGGCGTGGTCACGGCGAGCAGAGAACACTCACAGCGTGGTCACGGCGAGCAGAGGAACGGAGAACACTCACAGCGTGGTCTCGGCGAGCAGAGGAACGGAGAACACTCACAGCGTGGTCACGGCGAGCAGAGGAACAGAGAACACTCACAGCGTGGTCACGGCGAGCAGAGGAACGGAGCACACTCACGGCGTGGTCACGGCGAGCAGAGCACACTCACAGCGTGGTCACGGCGAGCAGAGGAACGGAGAACACTCACAGCGTGGTCACGGCGAGCAGAGGAACAGAGAACAAACACGGCGTGGTCACGGCGAACAGAGGAACAGAGAACACTCACGGCGTGGTCACGGCGAGCAGAGGAACGGAGAACACTCACAGCGTGGTCACGGCGAGCAGAGGAACAGAACACTCACGGCGTGGTCACGGCGAGCAGAGGAACAGAGAACACTCACGGCGTGGTCACGGCGAGCAGAGGAACAGAGAACACTCACAGCGTGGTCACGGCGAGCAGAGGAACAGAGAACACTCACAGCGTGGTCACGGCGAGCAGAGGAACGGAGAACACTCACGGCGTGGTCACGGCGAGCAGAGGAACGGAGAACACTCACGGCGTGGTCACGGCGAGCAGAGGAACGGAGAACACTCACAGCGTGGTCACGGCGAGCAGAGGAACAGAGAACACTCACGGCGTGGTCACGGCGAGCAGAGGAACGGAGAACACTCACAGCGTGGTCACGGCGAGCAGAGGAACGGAGAACACTCACGGCGTGGTCACGGCGAGCAGAGGAACAGAGAACACTCACGGCGTGGTCACGGCGAGCAGAGGAACGGAGAACACTCACGGCGTGGTCACGGCGAGCAGAGGAACAGAGAACACTCACGGCGTGGTCACGGCGAGCAGAGGAACGGAGAACACTCACGGCGTGGTCACGGCGAGCAGAGGAACAGAGAACACTCACGGCGTGGTCAAGGCGAGCAGAGGAACGGAGAACACTCACGGCGTGGTCACGGCGAGCAGAGGAACGGAGAACACTCACAGCGTGGTCACGGCGAGCAGAGGAACGGAGAACACTCACAGCGTGGTCACGGCGAGCAGAGGAACGGAGAACACTCACGGCGTGGTCACGGCGAGCAGAGGAACGGAGTATGAGAGCATTTTGGCTTCACTGTAACTTTACTGATGATTAAACTGTCACGGTGTAAACAGAAGCTAGAATAGACCCATGAACAGAACTGAGAGGTCTAATTCTTCTTCAGGGTCCACCCCCACAGGCCCGGGGTGGTACTGCAGCATGTCAGGGTCCACCCCCACAGGCCCGGGGTGGTACTGCAGCATGTCAGGGTCCACCCCCACAGGCCCGGGGTGGTACTGCAGCATGTCAGGGTCCACCCCCACAGGCCCGGGGTGGTACTGCAGCATGTCAGGGTCCACCCCCACAGGCCCGGGGTGGTACTGCAGCATGTCAGGGTCCACCCCCACAGGCCCGGGGTGGTACTGCAGCATGTCAGGGTCCACCCCCACAGGCCCGGGGTGGTACTGCAGCATGTCAGGGTCCACCCCCACAGGCCCGGGGTGGTACTGCAGCATGTCAGGGTCCACCCCCACAGGCCCGGGGTGGTATTGCAGCACGTCAGCGCACGTCATTTTGGCCACTTTTGCGCTGGGACCCGCCCCCACTGCCCAGGACTGGGAGAATCATTCAATATATGAGGGTAAATAACCTCATAAAGTGCCTTCTTATGTTGCACTTTGTGTTGTTTTTCATTAATTATGTTAAAAAGACATAAATGGGGCGACAGTAGCTCAGTTGGTAGAGCATTGGCCTTTGGGCCTGGAGGTCGTGAGTTCGATTCCCACCATGGGACCTACTCCAACTGCTCCCACTGATGACTGCTGTCGTTGTGTCCTTGGGCAAGACACTTAACCCCACATTGCCTGAAGCCCCCACTGAAAGAGCAAGGCTGTTTCACAACTGATGGAGCAGCCATCTTCCTGTGGACTCACCCCCTGCAGAGGATCAGAGGGACTGGTGCTATGAGCGTTGGGGGCAGCTCTCATTGCCACCCCCCCGACCCAGAAATGGACAAAGGGGTTGAAAATGAAATGAAATGAAATGACATAAATGGATGGGATCCTCCTGCAGGTGCCGAGTCCACATGAGCCGTGTTTATTAACTTTTTTTTTTTTTTTTTTTTGCTGATTCGAAAAATGAACTGAACCGTGGCCTCTGAACCGAGGTACGATCCGAACCCCTAATAGTGACTCACAGGGATGTTGTGCTCTGTTTTCTTTGACATGAAGTAAATGTCATTTAAGAGTCAGTCGTACAGTAACAGAACAGCTCCCTCTGGTGGCCAGAGTCAGTCGTACAGTAACAGAACAGCTCCCTCTGGTGGCCAGAGTCAGTCCTACAGTAACAGAACAGCTCCCTCTGGTGGCCAGAGTCAGTCGTACAGTAACAGAACAGCTCCCTCTGGTGGCCAGAGTCAGTCGTACAGTAACAGAACAGCTCCCTCTGGTGGCCAGAGTCAGTCGTACAGTAACAGAACAGCTCCCTCTGGTGGCCAGAGTCAGTCGTACAGTAACAGAACAGCTCCCTCTGGTGGCCAGTGTCAGTCGTACAGTAACAGAACAGCTCCCTCTGGTGGCCAGAGTCAGTCCTACAGTAACAGAACAGCTCCCTCTGGTGGCCAGAGTCAGTCGTACAGTAACAGAACAGCTCCCTCTGGTGGCCAGTGTCAGTCGTACAGTAACAGAACAGCTCCCTCTGGTGGCCAGAGTCAGTCCTACAGTAACAGAACAGCTCCCTCTGGTGGCCAGAGTCAATCCTACAGTAAAACATCTGTTAAAGAAACTAAATGCAACTCTTTGATAAATGAGGTCATAACAAAGTACTTTATTACTGAGATGAGAGGTGGTCTCTCTCTCTGGTCTCTCTCTCTCTGGTCTCTCTCTCTGGTCTCTCTCTCTCTCTGGTTCTCTCTCTCTCTGGTCTCTGGTCTCTCTCTCTCTGGTCTCTCTCTCTCTGGTCTCTCTCTCTCTGGTCTCTCTCTCTCTGGTCTCTCTCTCTCTCTGGTCTCTCTCTCTCTCTCTGGTCTCTCTCTCTCTGGTCTCTCTCTCTGGTCTCTCTCTCTGGTCTCTCTCTCTCTGGTCTCTCTCTCTCTGGTCTCTCTCTCTCTGGTCTCTCTCTCTGGTCTCTCTCTCTCTCTGGTCTCTCTCTCTCTCTCTCTCTCTCTGGTCTCTCTGGTCTGAAGGAGCAGCTGACCTGAACAGACAGGAGTTCCTCCAGGCGCTCCTGGTCCTGCTGCAGTCTCTCCTCCCTGCGGCGGTGGTTGACCTCCTGCAGCCTCCTCAGCTGCTGGTGCTTCCTCTCCTCCACACTCACTGCACTCGTCTTCATCGAGAACGGAAGCTGCATCCGATGAACCTCACGCTCATAAAACTCAGGGCTCCTCCACTTCTCCAGCTCTGAGGGACACAGGGACCCACTTAGCACAGGGACTGGCCTCCTGCTGGGAATCTGAGGAGCAACTCCTCAAGTATGAAGGGGACCACACAGAGACCGGAGAGAGACTGTCACCACGGTAACCGTCACCACAGTAACCGTCACCAGTTAGGTGATGGTTACCGTGATGATGGTCCAGTGTTACCGTGGTGATGGTCCAGTGTTACCGTGGTGATAGTCCAGGGCGCAGTAGCTGTGTTGGTGCAGCAGCTCCTCCATGCGGCTCAGAGTGATGGCTGCAGAGTGAGCAGGAGACTTCAGCTGCAGGAGGCGCTGCAGGTACACAGCCGCCTGGGCCCCGCCCACATTCACACGCTTACAGTTCACTGCATCTAACCTGGGGTCAGAGGGCAGGGGTCAGAGGGCAGGGAGACCAGAGAGAGACCAGAGAGAGATCAGAGAGAGACCAGAGAGAGACCAGAGAGAGACCAGAGAGAGGCCAGAGAGAGACCAGAGAGAGGCAAGGCAAGGCAAGTTTATTTGTATAGCACAATTCATACACAAGGCAACTCAAAGTGCTGAACAAGATAGCATTAAAATCATAAATAATCACAGAACCATTAACACGCCCTCCCTCAACCCCCTCACCCATCCACAACGTAGTATAGCCCCCTACACACACATTTACCTCCAACCTAATCAGTTGAATCGGAGCGATGATGTGCCTACCCATCTTCGGTATTATCATATTTTCTTTCATTGTCAACTGTTCCGTGATTACATATGCATCATTCTGTCTCTAGTTCATGCACCCAATAACCGCAAAATGATATTGCAATGTCTGCGTAAGACTAGTGCTATCACCAACCACTTGCCTTGCTTGCCATCTTATCCCCAGTGGGTCTCTTTCAGAGTCTCTCTGGTCACTCTCTTAGGGACTCTCTCTGTCTCTCTTGATATTCTCTGGTTCTCTCTCTAGGTCTCACTGCCCATCTGAACCCCTGCCTCTTGCACCCCGGATAGATGCCGATGAACTGTCAGCGTGCTGAAGTGCGGCGGTGCCCATGCGGCTGTTGTCCTGCGGCTCCTATGCCGCATGACAGTCTCACAGAGCACTACACAGTCACTCTGCCATCCCACCCACCATATCCTCCATTCTTCTATCATCCCCCCCCGCACCATCTCCATTCATCACCCCCCCCTTACCCTTTCCCCACCCCCCCCCTTACCCCCATTCACCACCCCCTTACCCCACCACCCCATTATCCTTAACCATATTATCCTTAACCCTATTATCCTACACACACTAATCAACTTATATATACCGCCAACCCCAATCATTCTAATCACACCTCTACCCCTCCTTATTCGGATACCATATCACCTATATTACCCATATACACCTATCTTATTCTCACTCATTATTCTCCTTCGAAAACAATCTCTATCTTTAACCTCTTCATCTCAACTAACACTCAGCCTACTCTATCGTATTTATATTCTTCTTCTTCATCCCCCTCTCATATCTTCAGCCTTCTTACCCCCCCTCCTCCTTTCTTCTCTCATCTTCCTTCCTTCTCTCCATTCTTCCCCAATAACATAAACCTTACTCTTCACTCCCACCTCCCCCTCTCTCCCCTTCTCTCGTCTCTCTCTCTCTCTCCCTCTTCATCTCTCTCTACCCTCATTCCTCTATCCCCTCGCTCTCTCTCCCACTCTCCCTCTCATCTCCCCTCTACTTCTCTCCTCGCGCTCGCCCTCTCTCTCTACCCTTTCTCTCTCGCTTCCTCGCGTCTACTCTACTATCCCCTCTTCTCTCTCTCCCCATCTCTCTCTACTTCCCCCCTCTCTCTCTCTCCCTAGCTCTATCTTCCCGCTCTCTCTCTCATATCCTCTTCTCTCTCCATATCTACTCTCTCCCCCTCTATCTCTTCATCTCCCATATCTCTCGTCCCTCTTCGATCTCTTACCTCCTCTAACCCCTACACTCATCCGAACACACTACATCATACACCAAAACCTCCCCCTCTTACATCCCATACTCCCAAATCACCCCATCATTACTCATACCATACTTCAATCCAATTCCCCCTCTTATTAAATAACTCTTACTTCATCCAATTCCCTCTTTCTCATCACTAACCATACCTCATCCTCTTCTCCCTCTTTCTCATAACATACCATTCCTCTTCAACCCCCCCTCTTTCTCCCCTAAATACACTACCTCATCTCCAATTCCCCCCTCTTTCTATCACATAACATCTCCCCATCCCCTTTCTCTTTCTTATAAAATAACATACCATTACCCATCAATTCCCCTCTTTCTATTTATAACCATACCTCATACAAATTCCCCCTCTTTCTATAATACATACTCATCAATTCCTCTTCATATAATAACCTATCTCATAATCCTCTTTATCTATAATCATACCATCTTTTCCAATCAATTCCCCTCTTTCTCATATCTAACCATACTTTACATTCAACATTCCCTCGCTATGCATATATACAATTAATACCTCACATCACACACACTCATCCAAATACATACATACCACCTCCATCTCTCCTCCTACCCATAATAATCACACAACTTTCAATCTCTACCCCTTAACTCTTCTTACCTACCAACAATCCATCTCCCCCCACCCCCCCCTCTCACCCCCCCCTCTAACACCCCCTTACATTTCACTTCTATCCTTCTCTCCCACTCAACATCCAAAACAAACCAAACACACCCCCAAATCACAAATTTAACTTTCTATACTCCATCTCTATCCCTCACAAAATCCCCCTCCCAATCAAATCCCTTCTTATCTACCCTTCCTATTCATCACCACTCATATCCCTCTATACCCAAACTTTTCTACCTTCCCATATTTATACCTATAAATCCTTCCCTCTCAACTAACCTATATTCTCTAATCTTCTCTTACATTATTTCCTCCATCACTCCCCCCATCACCTACCATCTCCCACCATATCCCCATACACCCTCCACAACACCAACCTAACCCCCCATCTCCCCACTCCCTCCTAAACATCTATATACAAACCCTCACAACACAATACTCATTACAAACCTATATCATTTATCCTTACATCTCCCCCAATTTCCCCCTCCATATATCCTCATCTTATCCACTCCCACCCTCTATATTTTATCCCATCCAATCCCCACTACCCCCCTCTTAATTTTTATTAATCCACTCTCCACCCCCTTTATATCTTTATTCCCATCCATCATCCCTACCCTTTATATTTTATTCCATCCATATCTACCCCCTTTAATTTTATTCCCCATCCATCATCCTACCCCTTTATAATTTTTATTCCCATCCATATCCCTCCCCCTTTCCATATTTTATTCCATCCATCATCCTACCCTTCCATTATTTTTATTCTCCCATCCCCATATCCCACCCTTTATATTTTATTCATCCCATCTCTACCCCCCTCCACCCATTCTTACCCCACCCCTACTCCATCCACTCCCACCTCACCCTAATACTAAATTTTAACCACCACTCCTAAATATTACAACAAACCCCCTATACCTATACCACACAGAACCTACCTCTACCTCCACATCCATCCCTAACCCACCATACCCCACCATCAATCTTTACCCCCTACAAATAATCTACACCACTTAAACCATCTCTCTCCCCACTCATATCTTAACCCACAACCACCCATCATTCCCATATCCCCTCATATCCCTCCTCCACCTCTACCCCTATTCTCTCATCTACTCTTCGTCCAACTAAACCTCCCCTCTCATCCCCTCTATCCACATTCATAAACCCTTATTCCATCTATCCCCTCTATCTATAACACTCCACCCCTACTCTCTCCCCTACATTCACACCACTCCCCCACACCCACACTCCTATCCCGAATCATCTCATAAATAAGCTACTCCTCTATACCTCCCCTATTCTCTACCCTTCTCACCTCCTCTATCCCCCATCCTATCTTACAACATACCATCCACTCTAACTCACCTCTTCTCCTATAACTCACTAACCATACTCTATCCCTCTATTCTATAACACAGAACCACATCACTCCTATCCCTCATATCTATTACATAACCAATATCCCCTTTCCCCCTCTATTATAACACCTAAACCTCATCACTCATTTCCCTCTATCTATAACCTAACCAATACTCCTATCCCCCTCCATATCTATAACACATAAACCAATTCACTCTATCCCTCATATCTATAACAATAACCAATCACTCTATCCCCTCCTATCTATAAACTTACAATCACTTCCTATCCCCTTATCTATCAATAACCAATCATCACTCTGAGTCCCCCTCCATGATATAGAATATACACTAACACCATCATCCTATCCACTGAAACCTTATCTATAAATAACAATAACTCCTGCCCCTTAATATATAAACACATAACAGATATTCACTTCCTATCCCTATTATCTATAAACTAACCAATCTCTCCTATCCCATTCCTCATCTTGAACACATTCATCCTACTCCCCCTCTTTATATTACTCCTTACCAACATACTCCTATCCCCCTCATTCTTTTCACATAAACTACTCCGAGACACTCATATCTAGACACGAACATAATCACTATTCTCACCCTGAGATATTTTTACACTTACCTATGCTCTCGTTCCCCACTCTCTTATCTTTTTCAATCACTCTAGCCTCGATATCTATACACTATCAATTCTCTATACCACTCATATCTATAACTTGTCACTCTATACCACTCTTTTATATATCTCTTACACCATCATCCCGATCCCCCTCTTTCTTTAATACAATACCATTATCCTTTCCCACTGATATAGATACTCTGTTTCACTTTCTCCTTTTCCCACTCCTTTATATGAACATACATATACCAATGCACTCTATCCCCCACGCTATTTGTACTCATTACTATCTATCACCTCCCATATCCATCATATCTATAAACGAATCACATTACGCCGATACCTCTTATCTTGTACATTAACCCATTTTCGCTTCCCCCTCTTATTCTAGATCAACTTACCCTATCATCCTTTCCCCCTCAAGTTTCTGAAAAATAACCATCAGTTCTCTATCCCTTTATATATAACCATCTTTCCATATCACGCCTTTCCCCTCTAGTTTATATAACTCTAACCACATCACTCCGTGCCCCTCTGATCTTTGATCATCAGACCTAAGCTCTCCCTTGTACCACTCATTCCCTTTATACTCCTATACTTGCTCTGCTAGACCCGCTTTTAATTTTATATAATTTGCCTTTCTCGCCGATGTCCCCTTCTCTAGATTTATCCTATTTCACATGAACTCCATGACCACTTTTATAACCCCTAATCCAATCACTCCGTTCCCCCCGCTTTACTTTTAATACCTATCACATCACTCGATACCCCGCTGATCTATACATCTACCTTCATCACTCGGATCACCACCTCCTTATCTTTAACTCATAACCACATCTACTTCCCTATCCCCGCTTTCTATAACACCGAACCAATCACTCCTTATCCACGCGTTCTAGAACAACTTACCACTCAGGTTACCACTTATAGATAACTCTTTATCATGCATCCTAGGACCTTTAAATATAAAACGAACATATCATCTCCGTTCCCACTCTTTATTAACTCTATCCACTTCAACTCTATCCCCCTCAGTTTTGATACATTTTCCATACATCACTCCATTACCCCGCCGTGAGTGTATTCGATCTCTATCATCTCGAGTACACCCGTATAGAGTTACTCCCGATCCTCTTCTACTCGTTATACCCCCGCCTTATGTATGATATTTTTCACCTTACATTATCTCTCCTTTCCACTCTATATTTACACTGTACCATAATCACTCCGTATCCACCTTTGATTGTTCATACTATCCTCTGCACGCCGTGACCACCTCCGAGATTGTATAAGTTCTACCTTCATTCGATCCCTATATCTTTAACAATAACATTCTCTCTCCTTTCACCCTACTAGTATTATACATCTATATCCATTTCACTTTATCTCCCTCATATCTAGATCACATATCCAAGTCTTTTATACCCACGCTTTATAGACACTCATCTCAGTCTCTCTGTAGCCCCATCCAGTTCTTTATCATGTTCTCATGCTATCCGTTCACCACTTATATTTAACCACATGTTCTCTTCTCTCCTCTACATTTTGCAGTACCCCCTTGTGCTTTTACCCACTGTAACATTTCATCCTTTCCCCTCTGATATATTCTATCCCCCCCCTAGCCCCCCCAAAAAAAAAACCCATCAAATCCCGAGTATCAGACATACTACCCGTAAGCCGACTTCTCTACACGGTACACCCTATCATCCCTCACCCAATCTAACACATCCACAATCTTCATCTCTTATTACTCAATTCATCTTCTATCATTTTTCTCTTCTCAATAACTATATCATCAATTATCTCATATCAATTCATATCCCCTTACCAAAATCAATCCCCTCCTCTCCCTAATCACACCCTAACCCTTCCATCTCCCAAACAAACTTATACCTAAACTCCATCTCAAACAAACTCTAACCTACCCCTCATATACAAAACTTATACCCTAACCCTCATCTCACCCAAACCCTAATCCACCTAACTTCCCATCTCCAAACACAACCTTCTCATATTCTTACTTCCACATTCCCTAAACCCCCCCCCTAATAATTCTCACAATCACTTACATTCTCACCCTCACACACCCCTTTAATTATATATTCCTTTCTACCCTCTCCTTCCCTTCCTCCCCTTTCCTTACCCCCTTCATAATATATATATTCTTTCTCCTCTTCCCTTCTCCCCTACCTTTAACCCTCAAATATAAGATTCCCCTTTTCTCCCCTCTTCCCCCCCCTCTCCCCTTACCTTCCTTTCTCTTCCCTTCTCCATTCTTCCCCTTTCCCTTCCTACTACAAACTCCCAACCCCCCACCCATATTCCAAAAACATTAAAACCATATTAACACATATTTCAAACCTATTCCCCAAATATATCACCACATATTCCCAAACATATCAAACCCATATAACAAACCATATTAACATATTAACACATATTACAATATTAAACTATTAACCACTATATAAAATCTTCCCAACAATATCTAAAAATTTATAAACAACTTAACCCAACTATAACCCACAAATTAAACAATATTAAACATAATAAAAAAATTAAACAACTTACCCTATTAAAATAATCTTAACACATATTAAACAATCTCCAACAAACAATATAAAAAATCATTAACTAATAACCTTTAAAACCCACTCCAAAACTCTTCTACATATCACCAATCATCTCACTATCTCTCTCCATTTCTCTATCCACCCTCTCTACTTCATTCTCTATTCACTACTCTTACTTCTATACCTCTATTTCTTCTTCTTTCTCTTCACATCTCATCTCTTCTTCTCTACTTTTCTCTCTCTCTACTCTCTATCTTACACTCCCCTCATCTTCCTCCCCTCTATCTCCCTCTTCTTCATCTCCTCCTCTCTCTCTCTCCTCTACTCTCTACTTCTCTCCCCTTCTCATCTCCTCTCATTTCTCCTCCTCCTCTATTCTTCTCTCATCTCTCTCCTTCTTCTCCTCTCATTCTCCCTCTTCTCATATCTCCCTCCCTCTCTCTCTATCTCTCTTCTCTCACACTCCCTTCTCAATGTCTCCCTCTACTCCTCTCTCTCTTCTCATCTTCCCTCTCTCTTCATCTACTCTCTCCACTTCTCAATTCCCCTTCTCTTATCTCTCTCCTCTTCTCATCCTCTCCTCTCTCATTCTCTCTTCCATCTCTCTCTCCTTATATCTTCTCTCTATCCTCCACATACCTACCCTATCTACTCTCACTCCCTCTCTCTTCCTCATCTTCTTCTTCCTCCCATCTACTCTCTTCTCTCTCTACTTCTCCCCCTCATACTCTTCTTCCTATATCTCCATCTATCTCTCATCATCCATCTCTTCTCTCCTATTCATCTTCTCTCCTCTCTATCTCCCCTCTCTCTCCACATCTTCTCTCTCTCTCAATATCTCTCTCCATCTATCTCATCACTCTATCTATCTCCTACTCTATCATCTCTCCCTCTATCTTCTCTCTTCTTATCCTCCTCACTCATCATCTCTACTCTTACATTCTCTCCCTCCTTCTATCACCCTTCTCTATCTTCCTCACTTCTCCTCATCTATCTCCTCTACTCTCTCCTCTCTTCTCTCTCCCTCTCTTTCTTCTCTTATTCTCTCTCTTCCATCTCCTCTCTCATACCTCTTCTCCTCTCTCTCTCCCTCTTCTCCTCTCATCTCCCTCTCTCTCTCTTCTCCTCCTCTCTCTCCCCTCTCTTCTCTCTCTTCTTCTCTCTCTTCTTTCTCTCTCTCTCTCTCTCTCTCTTCTCCTCTCTCTCTCTTCTCTCCTTTCTCTCTCTCTCTCTCTTCATCTTCTCTCTCTCTTCTCTTCTCCTTTTCTCTCTCTCCTTCTCTCTCTCTTCTTCTTCTCTTCTCCTCTCTCTTCTCCTATCTCTCTCCCTATCTCTCTCCCCTATCTCTCCTCTCCTCTCTCTCTCCCTCTCTCTCTCCTCTCTCTCTCTCTCTATCCCTCTCTCTTCTCTCCTATCTCTCTCTTATCTCTCTCTCTCTCTTCTCTCCCTTCTCTCTCTCCTCTCTCTCTCTCCTCTCTCTCTATCTCATCCTTCTATCTCCTCTCTTTCTTCTCCTCTTCTCCTACTCTCTATCTCTCCCTCTCTCTATCTACCTATCCCCTCTCACTCCCCTCCTATAATCTACCCCTATCCTCTCTCCCTCCCCTATATCTCACCTCTCTCTATCCCCTACTCTCTCCCCCTATCTCTCCCCCTCTATCGCCCCTCTACCTCTAACCTCTCCTCTCGCAGCCCATACACCCCAACCACCTTACCACCTCAACTTCCTATCCACCCACCTATCAATTCATCCCAAACCATCTAACACCCATACCCCCCCTCCCTATAACCCATACATTAACCACCACCCACTAACCCATCATTAAATACCCCCTCCCTTCCCCACCCTATACATTACTTATAACATATCCATATTAACATTCCCCCCCCCTACCTTCCCCTAACTATTCACACTCTCATACATCCAATCCCCTACCCTTCCATTCTACCCAACCTCCTAAATGTCTCCATTACCCCTCTACCCTCCCCCTCTCAATTCCTCCTCTTCCGCGTATCTTTTACCCCCACCTTGCTCACCCATAGCGCCCCCCCCCCCCCCCCCCCCCCCCCCCCCCCCCCCCCCCCCTTACAAACCCAAATCCCCCATAGTACTCATCACCTCCACTTTCCCCATAACAAACATCCTACCTTACTTAATACCCAAATCCCATCTTCACCTACTTACATACCAAACCCACCTAAATACAAAACTCACCCCGCTCTTCCCATACACCTCCCACTCACGCACCTCCCACCTCACACCTCCCCACTCAATCTCCCACTCCACTCTCCCACTCAACCGCACCAACCTCTAACCAATTGACTACCACTCACTGTTTCCACGGTATACTCCCATACCTTTACTGCTATCTATTAACGTGTACGGTCCAGTACTTTAACCCGTTTATATTACATGCAACAAAAGAAGTGAGCTTAATTAATCAGACCAGCATCCCTCTATTACCTGCTCTCTCTTCCCCTCTCCCACCCCTCTAATACCCCTTTCCCTGCTCTGTCCCCCTCTCCCCCACCCTTTATTTCCTTCTCTCCGCGGCCCCGCTCCCCCTCCCTCGATTAACCCTTCGTCTCCCCTCTTCCCTTCTCCCCCCACCCCTTTTAGTACCGTCGTAGCAGATGTCCCAGATCCCCTACCCGCTATGTACGGCGCGCCGAAGGATCATCGAAACTCACGGTTTGACCCGAGGCCGAGCAGCAGAACAGAGAACATCCCCAGGTGGTCACGGCCGTGAGCAGAGTAACAGAGAGAACACACAATTGCGAGGACCCCCCTGCTGCGTCCGTTCCGGATAACCACTCGGCGTGTCCCTGCGCGGCAGCGGCACAGAGAACACACACCGGCGATGTCACGGCGGCCAGAAGAACGGAGAACACTCATGCGTGGTACGGCGAGCGAGGACAGGAGAACCCCTCACCGGCCGTGGTCACGGCGAGGGCAGAGGAAGGCGAACACTCCCGGCGTGGTCAAGGCGGCAGCGGAACAGAGAACACTCACAGCGTTGTCACAGCGAGAGCGGACCGGAGAACACTCACAGGATGGTCACGGCGGAGCCGAGGCACGGCTTAACCCATACAGCGTAGTACCCTTCGATCGATGACAAGAGCCCCTACCGTGTAGTTACCCGTCGAGCCGAGGCCGGAGCACACTCACGGGTTGTTCCTTCGTGCGGCCTATTTCCGTAGGACCCCACACGGTCGTGTCACGGCGAGCAGAGGCACAGAGCCACTCACGTTAGTTCACGGCGCGCAGCGGCAAGTCGGACAGACCCCTCACCTCGATTTACACGGCAGCAGATGAACGTGAGAACCTCCCGGCTTGTGACAGGCGAGCAGAGGCACTGGCGCACAACCTTCTATTACCCCTTCTCTCTCTTCCCCCCCTCTCCCCCACCCCCTCCTATTACCCCCCCTATCTCTCATATCCCTTCTCCCCACCCCTCCTATTACCCCCTTCCCATCCTCTTCCCCTCTACCCCCCAACCCCTCTATTACCTTCTTTCCTCTTCCCTCTCCCCCACACTTCTATTACCCTTCTCTCTTACTTACCTTCTCCCACCCCTTTCTTACCCTTTCTCTCTTCTTTCATCCCACCCCCTAATTACCCTTCTCCTCTTCCCTCTTCCCACCCCCCCTCCTATTACCTTTCTCTCTCTTCCCTTTCACATTATTACCCCCCTTCCTCTCTTTTCCCCTTCCCACCTTATTACTTTTCTCTTCTTCTTCCCACCTCTATTACCCTTTCTCCTCTTCCCCTCTCCCCACCCCCTTTTATTACCTTTCTCCTCTTCCTTCCCCTCCCCTTATTACCCTTCCTTCTCTCTTCCCCCTCTCCCCCCCCCTTTATTACCTTCTTCCCTCTTCCCCTTCTCCCACCCCGCCTTATTACCCCTTCTCTCTCTTCCCTTCTCCCCCCCACCCCATCTTCCCTTACTCTCCTCTCCCCACCCATCTATTACCCTTCTCTCATCCTCTCCCTTCTCCCCATCCTATCTATTACCTTCCCCTCCTCTACACCCCACCCCACTAACTTACTACCCTTCTCTCCTATTCCTATATACCACCCCACCCTTAACTATTCTACACCACTTCAACAGCCCCCTAATCACCTTACACTAACCCACACCCCCCCCCTTCTACCCTTCTCTCCTCCATCACCCCCCAATTCTCCAACACACAAAAAAAAAAAAAAAAACCCCCAATTTTCACACAAAATTCTCTCGCTTCCCCTCTCCCCCCACCTACAAAAAAAAAATTATATATTCTTTCTCTTTTTTTTTTTCTTCTCTCCTCTCCCAACCCCCCTTATTACCCCTTCTTCCTCTTCCCCTTCTCCCCTACCCCCGTCTTATTAACCCGTCTCTCTCTTCCCCCTCTCCCCCACCCTCTTATTACCCTTCTCCCCTCTTCCCCTCTCCCCCAACCTTCTATTACCCTTCTTCCTCTTCCCTTCTCCCCACACCCTTATTACCCCTTCTATCCTCTTCCCTCCCCACCCTTATTACCCTTTCTCTCTTCCCTTCCCCACCCCCCCCTTCTATTACCCCTTCTCTCTCTTCCCCTCTCCCCACCTCTATTACCCTTCTCTCCTCTTCCCTCTTCCCCCCCACCCTTATTACCTTTCTCTCTCTGTCCTCTCTCCCCCACACTTCTATATACCCTTCTCTCCTCTTCCCTTCTCCCCCACCCCCTTAATACCCCAATCTCATCCCTTTCCCAACACCCCTAATTACCCTATCTTCTTTCCCTCTCCCACCCCTTTATAATTCCTCTCTATCCTCTCTCCTACCCCTCCCCCACCCTTAATCCCTTATTACTACAACCATCACCCCACCCTTATATTACCTTCTCTTCATCCCTCTCCCCCACCCCTTTCTATTACCCTTCTCTCTCTTCCCTTCTCCCCCACCCCTTTATTAATTCCTCTCCTTTCCCTCTCCCCACCTTCTATTACCCTTCTCCTCTCTCCCATCTCCCCAACATTCCTATTACCCCTTTCCTAATATTACCCCTTCACCCCCCCCTATTAATACCTACCCTCTTCTTCCTATTCCACTTCTATAAACCCCTACTCTCTCTCCCAATACCCCCCCCCCCCTATCTTACTTTCTCCCTCATCTATACACCCCCCCCCCCTACTAACCATCTCTCTCATCCCTAATCTCCCCCCCCCCCCATCTCTTCCCCTAACAATATTCCATCTAATCTCTCCCCACAATTCCAACCCCAACCAACACACTCCCCCCCCAACAACTACCACCAAAACACTCATACCCCCCCACCCTACAAACCCCCCACCCCAAAACCCCCAAAAATACATCCCCACATCCTACCCTTTCCCCTAATAAATTACCCCCCCCCATCCCCCAACATTCCCCCCCATCTTTATAAATCCCTCCCCATACTTTACCCCCCCTTACTTTTCTTACCAATCTCCCCTACTTAACCCCCCCTTATATTATTACAATCCCCTCATCCCCCTAACCCCCCCCCCCCATCCTATCTTACATTCCATACCCCTTTACCCCCCCCCATATTTTAAAACAAACCCCTCATACAATTACCCCCCCCATCTTTTATTACACATCCTCATTACTTAACCCCCCCCTTCTTTTATCCATCCACCCATACTTTACCCCCATAATTATTAACAATCCTCTACCCCCCCCCTTCCCCTACAAAATTTCCCCAAAATTATTTCCCCTCCCCCAACCTTCCATTCTCCCACCCAACCCCCCACACATCTTTACCCACCACACCCTATTCAAACATAATCCCATATATAATAAAAAAACCCAAACCAAATAACCCCCTCCACCCATTTTCTCCCTACTCACCTAATAACTCTCCCCAATTCCCAAATACCAATCCAAATATCTAAACTAACCCTAACACCCCCTAACCCCTCCTACACATACTAATCTACCATTTCCCTCCACAACCCCCCCTATTCCCCCCATCCTCCCCCCCCCCATCCCTCTCCTTCATAAACCCCCCATCATTCTCCCTTCCCCACAACCATATCACCCCCCCCCCCATCCCCCTCTATCACTCTTTCATTTCCACATACTATAATTTTTTCCTCAACCAATCCCCCCCCCCACCCCCTCCAATCCCCATATTAATCCCCCTCCCATCCCATCCCATCCCACCCATTCATTTCACCCACCCTATCTTATCCTCTACCCCATCTCCCTATAAACAACCCAAAAAAACAAAAAAAAAAATATCAATCCCCCATCCCATCCAATTACACATCTATACTCACTCCCCCACCACTATCACCCATCATAATAACACATAAAACAAATCCCAATCCTACCATACCAAACCTCTACCTATACCCTACCCCTCCCCTACACATTATTCCCTCTACTATACCAACCCTCCCTCACCCCCACATTATTCCCCCCCTCAACCCCCCCCTACCACCCCCTACCTTCCCCTCACACATATTCCCTTCTTACCCTAAACACCCTACCTCCACCCCACTATAATCCCCTCTTATACCACCCCTCCCATCCCACTAATTCAACCTCTACAACAACCCCCCACCCCTACCCTCACAACAACCTACTCCTAAACCCCCTCCCCATCCCCCTTCCCCCCCATATTCCTATACTATAAACCACCTCCCCTCAATTATTCTCTCCACCACCCTCCCCCTCCCTATACACCATATTCCCTTACCCTACTACCCCCCCCCTCCCTCAAATTATTCCCTATACAATACCCCCCTACCCCCTCCCTCCACCCACATATCCCTCTACTAACCTACCCCCTCCCTACCCCCCAATTATTCTCTACCCCGCCACCCCCTTACCCCAATAACCCTCCCACCCATCCCCCACCCAAACCCCATTCTAACCACCCCCTACCACCCCCACATCTCATCTCTTAATAACACAAATTAACCACCCAAACCAATTACCCCACCACACCCCCCCCAACCTTACCAAAACAATACAACCCCAAACTTAACATTACACCAACCCAACCATTCCCACCCACCACACACATTTACAACAACAATTACCACAACCACAATTACACACCAACCAAATTACACACACACAACATTTCCAAGAACCATACATTAAAATCCACACATTACACAACAATTAACACACACAATTACACACACAATTACACACCACCACCAATTAAAACCACATAACCACACACACAATTTAAACACAAACACCACCACCAAATTACACAATTAAATCCTTTCTCCTATCCCCCATCCCCCCTCCTTCTAACCCCACCTTCTTCCATTACCATCATTCCTACAACCCCACCATTTTTATTAATCCCACCATCCTCCACACTATATTATCCAACACACCACCCCCCCCACCCATCCCCACTACAACCACCCTCTCCCTTCCTATCACTCATCCCCCACCCTTCACCACCACCACCTTTCACACCCCAAATAATCTTTCCCCCCTTCCCCAACTCCCCTCTTCCATTACATATTTCCACATCTTTCCCCACCACCCTATCCTTTTCCCCCCCCTCTCCTTCTCTCTCCATACCCCCTTACCCTACCCCCCCCCCTACCCTACCCCCTTACTTATCATTAACCTTATCATCATACCCCTATAACCCTATTATAATTTCACCCCTATAACTAATTATCAACTACCCTAGTTTCCTACTCATATATTATCCTCCTCACCACCCATCTTCACCTCTATCATTCATCCCTCTATCTCCCTTCTCCAAACCCTCTTCCTTCTTCTATCTTACCCTCCTCCTCATTTCCCTCCCCAATCCCCTCAACCCCCCTAACCATCCAACCCCTTTTACCTCTTTCCTTTTACCTCTTTCCTTTCTCCCCCCCCCCCATATCTCTCCCTCTCTCAGGACTGAGGCTGTAGACCCAGGACTGAGGCTGTAGACCCAGGACTGAGGCTGTAGACCCAGGACTGAGGCTGTAGACCCAGGACTGAGACTGTAGACCCAGGACTGAGGCTTTAGACCCAGGACTGAGACTGTAGACCCAGGACTGAGACTGTAGACCCAGGACTGAGGCTGTAGACCCAGGACTGAGGCTGTAGACCC